GATATCTTACCTCGTGAAAGGCATTTTCGAGACAACCGAAGCGAATAAAATTCCAATAATTATTTCCCCCATCCCCGCGAGCATTGTGCCAGCACACAAAATGATCCAAATGTACCTCGTGGAAGACTAAGGCAATTGCCTCGATAGCAAAGCCACTGCGAGTGAAAAAATAATGAAAAAAAAAACTAAACAGAGTTTACATCAGTTTACACATGCACAGGTGTTTTCAGCTTGATCACGTGAGGGAGAATCGCATATGGAGTTCGTTACACAGATGCTTCTTTCGGTTGATGTGTCAACGAATACATTAGACCAGATATTATTATGTCTCATGTACGAGTATTACATCGAAACCCAATTAATTTCTTTCCCTCAACCTAAATTATTATTCCTTCCTTGGAGCCATTCATTCATGAAAATCAAAATGAATTTTTTTGAAAAGAAGTGGAAAAAACGGGGAGAGGACTCGATGCGGATTTTATTGTGTCAATGAACACATTAGACCAGATAATATGTCTCGTGTAGGAATGAGCGGTATAAAGCAGGCTGTCTTCACTCGTCCCGTAATCAAGAGCATCAGAATGGCATTTTTCGATTTATTTTCCTTTTTAACCCTAGTCTGGTCACCTGACGGGAAAATGCGAATTTAGTCACCTTCGCGGGAGAGTGCCGCCGTGTTATTTAGGCTCCAGCGTTGCCGAATCCACTCTACACTTCCCGGGCGCGTTTACCGAGTTCCCAGCAACGTCGCGCAACAGGCAATTTCATTTAACCCTTCAGAACTCGCGCTATAAGCGCCGCGCCGCCTTTTTCAAATTTTCGCTTGCCTCTTGCAAAATTGAGCTTTCAAAAAATTGAAAAAATTAGAATGCCTAGCTTGAATCATTTAGAATGGATTAGCAAGGTTCTTATCCGCTGAAAATCCATCAAGGCTACGAAAAATAATAAATTGTTGAGGCTCATACGCAAAAGCGGCGCCGTGCCGCTCAGTGCGAGTAACGAAGAATGTAAAATTTTCAATTCCGCTGTTGCTGTTTCCCGCTCGCCGCACGCTCGGCGCGTACCTATGAACGTGACAACGCTGCGTTACTGAAAGCACGGGCGGCGCAGCGCTCACCACGCGAGTAACGAAGGTCGGTGGCTGGGCGCGAGTTCTGAAGGGTTAACACGGGAAAAAATTGTTCACCTGTTGGAAATCATTTTTTTTCCTCCCAGAATTAAGGATGCAATATTGAAAAAAAAAATACTAGAATTTTCCAGATACTTCAATTGACGCATTCAATTTTTCTCAAATTTTTTCGGTCAACCAGTCGATGGCAAGGTGAATGAAACGACGTGTTGCGGCAACTCCCTCGTATGGTGACTAGTCTAGGGTTAATAGTATATTTCGACTAGGGGGCTACGCCCCCAGCTCGCTCCGCTCGGCAACCCTCCCATGGGTCCCCACCATCCTTGTTCTAATCCTTGTGACCCTTATTCTGACCCTCATGATTATTTTGATCCTCGCGGCCCTTATTTTGACCCTTCTGACCCTTAATTGTGGAGTCTTAATTTCGACTACCAAACTTTTATTACCAGAAATCAATTTCGATTTTTATAATGCAGAGAGGTACGAGTGCGTAATAGTATATTTCGTTACGAGTGCGGAAAAGAGTTTTTTGGCTCGTGGCAGGTTTATAGCACGAGCCGAAAGCGGGTGATATAATCTCACGATCCAAAAAACACTTTCCCCACGAGTATCGAACGATATTTTTCATTACAATGTGTGAAAACGCTTCGCGTGCCTAAAACTTACATTTTCGCACAGCGTGATGAAATAATATATTTCGCGTCGAGTGCCACTGGGGTTTTCGATGAGTGTGAGGTTGGCACGTCGAGCCGAAGACGAAAGATTTTGACCCTTACATTTTTTTTGACCCTCAAAATGTTAAACGTCAAATGTCAAAATAACAAAATGTCAAATGTCAAAAGTCAAATTTTGACATTTTGACATTTTAACAGTTTGACATTTGATATTTGATCTTTAATATTTAATATTTGACATTTGACCTTTCACATTTGACACTTGATATTTTGATTTAAGATATTGTCAAAATATAAGGGTCAGAAATAATCGTCAGAATAAGGGTCATGAGGATCAGAAATAAGGGTCAAGATAAGGGTCAGAAATCGCTCTACTTCTGGCCCTTTCCCGCTTATCTTTCTCCCAGAAAATCATTTAATTAAGAAGACAATTAATTAAATGATTATTATTTTCACTTTCAGTGCCCAAAAGGTACTGAAATTCAGTACCCACTTTTTGTAGTGATGGACGTAGACAGATCGCCCAATTCTGTCCGTTTTACCCTACCCTCCCCAGCAAGTATTGAAGCCCAAGTGATTTCTCCCCTTCAACCTGAATAATTCTTCCTCCTCGGGAGCGATTCCCTCATGGAAATCAGCGGAATGGTGAATTATTTGAAACGAAGTAGAACATGTTAACGCAGAGACGAGAAGAGGACTCGATTCGAATTTTATTAAATTGGATAGAATGTGGTGCGTAGGCATAGCCGGCCGGATACACGCCGAATGAATCTCATCCCAGTGGGAGGAAGTTCGAATTAACTCGAGCCAACATCAAGCTCAGAGTCACTGGGGGACCTACACGTCATTCGTCTTGTTGGAGCTGATTTCCCAACAATATCCCTCGATCAACCATAAAGCCCTGACAGAAAAATTCAGCGAAGTGAAGTCCATTACTACAGTGATGAATTGAGTGGAAGATAATATCGTATTGGAGGAATAGATGATTACTTTGATTCAATAGGAAACTTGCATGAATTTTTTTCATTCTTTCAATCTCAAGTTTCGGTTTTAAATTATTAATTTTTCACGACTACACTTTAAAAATATTATTCGTTACTTAATAATTGATTGTCGAAGGCTGGAGATTTCAAACGCTTTCAAGTCGCCAATTGCGTCACACGAGTGGTCGGACGCAGGACCAATCACAGAATAGCTCCAGCCAACCTAGCCCAATCTTCACGAGCGCCTTATCCAATGGGTGACGACAAATCCCCTCTCTTCTCACGTTCGACCAATCGAGCGCTGCCCAGCATTATTTATGCCACTTTGTGACGACATGAACGAAGGAGGTTTGAAAACAGACATGCACTGATAGACTAATTCATTTATTCCAAACGAGATTCATCAACTATTAACGAATGGTAGAGTTGAATATGACCAAATGAATATTAGTTAATAGTTAACGAATGAAATGTGAAAATCGAGTCAAACAAGCATTTGTTAAGTATTAACGAATGAACATTTGGTAAGACCAATAGACCCTCGCCTCCAACCAAATCCATTCGTTAACAATAACTAATCCTTTCTATTAGTGGGCATAATCATAAATTTTAAATAAAGTTAAATTTTAAACTAGTGAATTGGTTAATATTACTCATCAATTTTTTAATTATTAAATTAATCATCAATGAAATATTAAAATTCCGGATTATTTCATCAATCAATGAGCGCAGAAAATTATTCGGTTAAATCGAAAATCCTTTTATAAAATTTAGAATTGTTTACTCAAAAGTCAATTGAAAATTGGAATGATCAACTATTTTATTATTTTGCAAATTTTAATGAAGATGAGTAAAACTTAATTATTCTAAGGTGCAATTTTTTTTAATATTAATGATCTAATGATGCCGATCCTTGTGTCAAAACCGTCTGATTGTTCTATACAAATTCGTCGACTTATTTTCCAAGTTCTTTCGCTTAAAGTCTTCAATCTGTAGTAGTCTTTAGTCAGAAGGAAATTCGACCGATGAATTTTTATAGAAAATATCTGAATAGAGAAAGTTGTATAGAAAAATTTCTTGATGATTGAAAAAAATCTGCTAAAAACATGTAGAAAAAATTGAAAAAAATCCAATAGAAGTGTAATAGAAATGCAACTGAATTTTTTAGCGACCGCAGTAGGGATTTCCACTCAAATATTCGTACATGAATATCATTCTTCGATACTTTGAACTTCAAATTAATTCAACGAACTGTCAATGAATGTCTGAAAAAAATGAATGCACATAAAATTTGTCGAGTGTAATGGGTCCTGAGGTAGGTGAAGCTGATGGTCGTTTTAAAACCGTTTGACCCCGCGGATTACACCGCACGACGGGGTCACAATACACGCTTCATCTCGGCATGTACCAGTCTGTACGAATGGCCGGACAATTCGAATACGCTCGTGGGTGTGAGTACAAGCGGGAGAAAAGGGACGGAGATGATTTTACAGTGGAATGGACGGATTCGATGAGGACGGGAACATGGTGACACTGCGGACACGTACGCTGTTGCTACTCTGACACCACGCGCAACCTCCGTCGACCCAGCAGCCCTAATTAATCATCACAGGGATCATCATAATCGATACAGGGGGAGATGAAAATTTATTGAATTTATCTTGCATTTTTGATAGTCTATTCTACACTGTTAGAAAATAAATGAGATTTCATGGACAGTTGACTAGTAATTTTCAGGACGCCACTGACACTGAATGCGATTTAGGAGGGGAAAAATCATGATGTCAGATTTCTCCGGAAATTCAGTAGAATTCCAAAATTTAAAGCATCATAAAGAGAATTTCTTAATTTATTTGAATTTGCAATCTAATATGAATTTTCAGTGAAATCTGCAATTTCATGATTTTCTCCCTTTAAATTGCATTTAGTGTCACTGACCTGCAAATTCAAGAATATATTTACCGGAATTTTCTGGTTTTCTATTCATTTTCAGGGAACAATGGAATTGGAATTTACAGTTCTCATTGATTTTTCCACAAAATTCTAAATTTTCGATGACGAAATTCCTCGAAATTTCACTGATAATTAAACTCGATAAAAATTTCCAAAAAGTGTGCCGGAAAATTCAGACAACAATTTTTAACAATTCGAGAAAAATCTAGTTGTTTCATCATATCACCTAGTGGTAAACACGAAGAATATATGAATGCAGTGGAAAAATATAATTCTTGAACCTTTATTTGAACTATTGTACATTATTTCATATTGTGTGAATGAGAATAAATTCACGAATTGATCTTCATCTCGTTTATCCTCTCTCACAGATAATGTCAACCACACTGGGTTCCATGAGGACTGGCTCCAGGCATCTGTGGACAGCACTTCCCAATATTTCATCGAGAAGAAAGTGTACCAAGCTGAAAACCAAGAATGAGAAATAAAGTTGTAAAATCGCATCCACTGTATTTTGAACTATTGCTCTGAGATTTCGAGATATCTTCCATAAATTGAGGGTGACATGCAATCAAGTCAGTGTTATTTCACTTCTTCACTACTGAAATACTTATTCCAGAAATAAATCAATAGCGAAGTGGGAAAAGAGCTCAAGTCGACATATCTCCCAGTTGAGTTTTTAAGGAATATTTCCGAATCTAAGGGAGATAGCCAATTTTTCGTAATTACATTTGTTGTAGCACTCAATCGGCTCCACAAAAAAAGTTATAACAAAAATTTTGCTATCTCCCTTAGATTCCGAGATATTCATTGAAAACTGGTAAATAGTCAACATTGACTTGTACCGTTTTACCACTTCGCTACTGAAATAATAAGAAAAAATATTCTAGCTAAAAACTGTCCTAAAATTCTTCTCCAAAATCACTAATAAAATATTCAGCATGAAAATTGACTTGTTTTATCGTTTTTTTTTCCATTCAACCACTGAATTAATGATCTCAATCATTCATAATCCCGTTACTTCGAATGAACGAAAGAAATAACTTGTCATCTGAGGCAAAACGCCACAAGTAGACTTGTAAAAAGGAAGTGTACCAAGCTGGAAATTTTTGTTAATCCAACCATCAGAGATGCAATCAATTCAGTTTATCTCACTACTTCACTTCTGAAATATCTATTTATCCCAAAGATGAGTTATTTTCGAGAGAGAATTTTCCCCTACACAGAGAGAAATATTCAATAAAAATTACGTATCTTTTCCGTAATTCCGGAGCGAAATGCGGTTGTAGGAAATTTTACGGAACTGTCACTGAATTTTTCCAGAGCGTTCCGTAATTTTTATCTGACTCTCCTGTGAAGAATTACGATAAATTACGATTCACTTAAATTTTCGGAGTCGATTCCGTAATCAGTAAGCGAATTATGAGTTCCGTAATTTGTACTGAACATTTCTCTCCGTGTAAAATCACTCATCACGAAAATTGCCCCAATAATTCAGAATCCCATTAATTCGAATAAAAGAAAGAAATTACTTTTCATCCGAGACGAAACGCCACAGATACAATTGCAGATAATGTGTGTCCACTTGAATCTGCTGCAGTCCATATTTGCTGAATGTCCGAAGTCTCACGCACTCCAAAAAGGTCTGGAAATAGACATGGAGAGAAAAAAATAGACTCACAAACCTCACATACGACAAAATATAATAATTCAATTGGTTCAACACATGAGAGTAGAAGATTACATCTGCGATTACTTCGTTCACGTTGCAAAGTGAATAATGGCCAAGTTATTTTGTCATTGTGAATCAAACAACGGTACAGCACCTGCACCCTGTTACACAAGTACATCACGTGTCAGAAGTAATGCGTCTGCCCAATATTAATCATCTCACGAGTTTTTTAATTACCTTGAGGCTAATTTTTATGATTCCAGTGAGAATCGAGGCCTTGTTGAACTGCACAGGTGCGAAGATTTCGATTCTCTCCGAAAATAATTTGTGAATGTTGGTGACCAGAGATGAGTCCAGATGACTCGGATGACTGTACGATGACCAATTGGAGCGATACTGGTGCCTTGAAACACTAATACTGCGAAATTAATGTCACATTGGCCTCGTCGTTATTCAAATCAGTAGTGAAGTGGTAAAACGTAATAATTCAAAATGATCGGCCGGTTAATTGTGTAATTATCGCGGAAACGAGTCGGTTGAGGGTCAACAGACCTTCGTTTTAGGCAATTGAATTTCTTAAGAATAATGGCTAATTGAATTTCTTAAGAATAATGGTGAAATTTCCTCCTGAAATCAGTCGCCATCGAGATAATTCGAGATTTGGAGAATTATCAAAACTGTTACATTTTGCTGTATTTTATCAACATTCACTATTGAAATGAATTTATAAGAATGACACGTTCTGAAATATTTTTTGCATTGGAAATGTGAAAATTTAATGGGAAACCCAGCGCTTGCTTCGAGAAATTGTATTGAGTTTCTATTAGAACTCTAGAAGAAGTCTATTGGGGTTTTCTGAAAATTCTATTAAATAGGAAATTTTACTGGTTTTTGACGCGATATTTAGTAGAAAAGAGTCAATAGATTTTTATTTTTCTACAGAGATTCTTGGTCATAAATTTTCTAAGTTCTTTCTGCTGCCTTTTCGCCTGATAATGCTCATGGAGAAAATACTAACAGGATTCAACAGGAGTCGCATAAAAAAATCAGCAACTATGGAAAATTTTAGAAGTCTTTAGAAGCTTTCGGAAATTTTTTGGAATTTCCGAAAAAACCTAGAATCTTCTAGATTTGTTTTGAGCATTCTAATATTTTCTGGAAAATCCCTGAAATTTCCAGAATGTTCAAGAAATCTTCAAAGAGTTCTGAAAATTTCAATGGTGTATCTTCTGACATATATAAGATCCTAGTCTAATTCAGTACCGAAGTGGTAAAATGGTACAAGTCAATTTTGACTATTGACCACTTTTCATTGAATATCTCGAAATTTAAGGGAGATAGTAAAATTTTTGTTGTAACCTTTTTTGTAGAGCCAATTAAGTGCTACAATAAATGTAATTACGAAAATTTCGTTGTCTCCCTTAGATTCGGAAATATTCCTCAAAAACTCAACTGGGAGATAAGTCGACTTGAACCGTTTTACCACTTCGCTACTGAATTAATCGGAAAAATGTCATGGAAATCGGTTCCGCAGTTGGGGCTAGCTAAGATAGAAAAAGTGTTGAGAGACAACGGCGAAAAGAAGCTTCAAGAGACCACGAATGAAGTGCTTAAACTTTGATACTGTGATATTATCATTATTCATTATGCATTATTGATATAAAAACAATTTATTGGAGTGTCACTGGAGAGACTCTAGGAAACCTCTTCCCCGGCCATAATTTCCCGGACAAAATTTCTCCGAAAAAAATTCCCCCGGACAAAATTTCCCCGAAAAAAATTCCCCCAGACAAAATTCGACAGACAGAATTTCTTTTGAAGTCGCGCTCGTATAACCGCCACGAGGAAAGTTAGTGGTGGGGATATCAGTTTAACTGTGTTGGGTTTTCAGCTGAATGTTGATTATTTAGTATTCTATTCATGCCTAAATTAATCTCTCAGTCCAGATTCAACGTGTATACAGCGAGCCACGAGGCGAAGAGCAAATTACGTGCTAATATAAATTAAAATTACAGTATCTTTATCACGCCTCAAAATGTTAGAAGTAGTTGTTTCGGATCTCGTCACTTCTTTTTTCTTGGTGTTTTTCGGTGTGAATTCTTATTGTTTTTTTAAAGACTGTGACTTTCTTGCAAAACTGCTATGTGACAATTTTTTTATGTCTTTCCTCTGTCCATATATTCAAAAAGGAAATTGTGTCCGGGGAAATTTTTTTCGGGGAAAATGTGTCCAGGGAAATCATGTCCGGGGAAAATATCTCCGGCTACCCACGGGCGATATTTTTCTATGGCTTCTGTAGATGTAACACTGTAATAGTAGCATCAAGGAAATACAGCATTCTATTCTATTCTATTCTATTCTATTCAACAGATTCATTATTCAATAAACAATAAATTGAGCGACTATTGTAGATTTTCCTTCACGTACCTGTGAGTTTTTCTACTGCTATCACTACTCCTATCGACTTGCCCATCGTTATCATCATAAAGTGCAGCAATTTGCGAGTCAATAGCCGTAACATCTTCAACGACTCTCTTCATAACCGCCCTGACAGTTCTCGGTTCGATCGTATGGAGCCAGTCTCGAGTCTCCACGGATTTCCTGAGCATCTGCGAGACCGCGAGCCCCTGGAGACGAACGTAATGATTGAGGAGATCCTGGGCAGCTCGATGGAACTCCACGAAAATGTCCTGTTCAGAAGTCAGAGCGTGGATGGAGGCTGAAAAATCCTGAATACTGAACATCTCGTCAACTGTCCCCAGGAGGTAGTGAATGCTGCTCTCCTTGAACTCGATGCACATCTTGCTGAGGAGCAAGAGCAATGTGGGCGGGTATTTAGGAACATCGGAACTCGTGCAGAAGCCAGCTGCCACCGCTGTCAGGTGGTGCAGGAAGCCGATGAGAAGGCCCTCACGGACCTGGTGAAGAATATGACANCTCGTGCAGAAGCCAGCTGCCACCGCTGTCAGGTGGTGCAGGAAGCCGATGAGAAGGCCCTCACGGACCTGGTGAGGAATATGACAATATGTGGGCATCTACATGAAAAGGGCCCACTTTGTCGGTTTGGAGTTACGTATATTCCGATAATCTTGGTGAGATTCCTCACATTTTGAGCCCAAAATTAACATGATAGTATGAAAAATGACGTCGGTATAGAAGATCAAAAAATCAGTTTAACATTAGTTTAAGGGTGCCAGGTGAATTTGAAAGAAGATTTTTAAAAAAATTTTTCTTTCCCTCCATCATTGGAGAAATATGTATTCATCCATCCGACAAAATTTCAAACCCGCAACCGGAACTAGACATCGAGAAAATAAATGCGGAAAATCCTCTATTTCGCGTGACGAACCTCGAGAAAGCATGGGATCAAATAAGTACGGCGGGTTGAAATATCTCTCTTATTCACCCCGGTACCCCATTGTTTTTTGTCGCCATCACATTGAACACATCATTCCCCATATCTTCAAATTTTTTCAAATTTTTCTTGAGTTCCTAGGGGGTTGAAACGTTCAATTTAATCAAAACTCCATAAGAGGCCGTGTATAAGATTGATTTTGTTTATTTAATTTCTCGATATCCATAAGTTCTAAAATTTTGAAATTGTCACCGATGTTCACCATCTGTCTAATACTATTAATTAAAAAAATTATAACTTTGTTGGTGAATGTCAATTTTCAAGGTCATCGCCAAATTCACTTGGCACCCTTAAATGGAAGGTGTGAACACAAAAACGTGAATATCTCGCAAAATAAATGCGACAAAATGGGTCCTTTTCACGTGGACGGACACATATGGAGATTTTTACGTATGAAAAAATTTAATAGAAAAACCTAGTGAATTGGGTAGACAATTTTATTGCATTTCTATTGAACTTTCTGTTAGCTTTTAGTTGATTTTATTGAAATGTTCAATAACAATTTAGTTGGAAATAACAGTTGTTAGTGTGATCTCTGAGGAGAAACTATTCAGTCGTCAATATTGACATGTTTTCTGTTGTTTGTGTGAAATTTAATGCTGTTAGCTATGTCTTCATACATAACTGGTTTAGATATTAACGAGACAAACATTAATCGAGTCATGAGCCTCATGAAGCTAAAATAATGAGCGAAAGGTCGCAAAATGACAATTAGATAAATGTTGTTTTCATTTTTCTCTAACAGCCCTTGATATTTTTTGATAATTAACAGCGATAGAGATGAATCAGAATATAACTTGTTCGCCTTTCTCCCAGTGTAGAATCGGTCAAAAACTAATTGACAGTTCAATAGAAATTCAGTGGAATTGTCTAGTGAATTCGCCAGGTTTTTCTATTAATTTTTTTATTAGTATGTCTTTATGTACGTAGTGATTTAACTAATAATTATTTATATCCTTTGACAAAATTTAGGGTTGTTAAAGTGACCATCATTTCTTTTTCGTTATATGACAAATTTATGATAGTCATGTGACGTCATATTTTTTTTGTTATAATTTAAGTAATATGACATTGTCACTACTATTTAGATGAAATATTCGCTATTCAAATTGAAATTATTCTGTGAAATTTCATAGAACTCAGGTAAAAATTGAAAATTCAAGTAAGTTTGGTAATTGCTGCTCAAAAATCTGGAATTTCATTGCATTTTCAGTGGAATACGAAATTTTATGGTTTTTTCTCTCTAAATCGAATGCAATGTCATTCTCCTGAAAACTATTACTCAATGTTCCATGAAATTTCAATTAAAAAAAAAATCAAAATTCGAGGTTTTTAAATTTTTCCTTAGAATCCGCAGAAATTTTCTAGCAGATCCTTGGAAAATTTTAGAAATCTTTAGAAACTTGGGAGAATTTATAATTTTCATTTTTTTGTGTTGAACATACTAATATTTTCTTTAAAACCCCTGAAATTTCCAGAGTGTTCGAAAAATCTTCAAACAGTCCTGAAAATTCCGATTGTGTATATTCTTACACAATATCCTAATCCAATTAGTAGCCCCCCAGATTCATTATTAATAACTAATAAATCGAATCTCCAAAATAAATGAATAAATAAATATAAACCTCTTCAACGCAGAACGACTCGAAAAACTGGGCCTTCAAATTAAAGGATAAATCCGATTGGAGGAAGGCTGACAGATCCTGCAGGACTCCCTTGATTTTCTCGATGATGGGCATCACCAGGTGGGCCTGGAGTTCCGCCAATCCCCCGTCACTGTTGTCCGAAGTCACCTTGGTAGCTAATGTCTGTCTAACTTTGACGAGAGTCTCATTCAGATGCTGTTTCAGAGAATTCAAATGACTTCTGCACTGCTTTCTCCCTGCATTCTTCACGATTTCAGTTCCAGTGATACCGAAGTCTGTGGATGTGCAGAGGATGTTCATCGCCTGGAGACGCCTGTGGAATCTGTCCAGTGCTCGCACGAGAACTGCAGTGTCCGAGACATTTTCCATTCTCTTTTTCGTCAGTTCAAAGTACTTGTCCATGTTTTTGGAGACGAATTTGTCAAGACGAATCGTGACATTTGCCTCAAACTCCAAGTTATCGGGGGTCTCCAGGTCGTGGGGGTGGCTGGGAATGGGTCTGTTGATGAACATGTCGTTGTACGAGGCCACAACTAGGGACAGATCGCTGAGAAATCCTGAACTCGCAGAATCCACGAACTCGATGACGTCGTTTTCACACATGTCCTTGAGGATTTCTAGCTGCTCGGAGAGGCGAGTGTCCGCGTGGTTCAGGAACTCCTCGCAGAGGGAATCTGCGGGCTCGTTCAGACGCAGGAGGAGGTCCACGCTCTCGGCTAGGGTCTTCGTCGTGGCGTCGTGCTTGTGGAACTGCATTCTCAGTTGGGTTTTCAACTCGTTGACGATCTCCTCGCAGTCTTTCTGGATTCCGTGGAATGACGGCATGTTTCCGTATTGGTTTAGGACGCGGCGAGCGTGGATGTAGTCCTGGACAGCCTGAAAAATCAAGTGGATAGGTGCGTTATCATTAAGGGGAGACTACTATGAGTTTTAAAAGTCGCGGGCTGTTGGAGTGACATTTCTCATGTATTGAAGATCGATTATATATGTCTAAAAACGAATAATTAGTGCAAAAAAATGAATTGTTTATAGTTCGTTTGCCCCGCAGATAGTTAAAACGTTGAAAATAGTCCAGGGCCTCCAATTATTGAGCTACAGAGGTTTCTTTTTCAAAATTTTTGAAAAAATTTGTACAATAATAGTTACGAATGAGTTTTTTTCTTAAATTCAACTCCTAGACAACTTCGTTTGTTTAATATGAAAGGGGAGACTACTATGAGTTTTAAAAGTCGCGGGCTGTTGCAGTGACATTTCTCATGTATTGAAGATCGATTATTTATGTCTAAAAACGAATAATTATTGCAAAAAAGTGAATTGTTTATAGGTTGTTTGCCCCGCAGACAGTTAAAATGTTGAAAATAGGCCAGGGCCTCCAATTATTGAGCTACAGAGGTTTCTTTTTCAAAATTTTTGAAAAAATTTGTACAATAACAGTTACGAATGAGTTTTTTTTAAATTCAACTCCTAGACAGTTAACTTCGTTTGTTTAATATGAAAATTTACGCCATTCATCTAAAGTAGGTAGAAAAATTATCCTTAAAATATTTCAAATATATTCTCGATTCTTTCAGAAACATTTTTCGGGCTACTTTACATGAATGGTGCAGTTTTTTATTTACAAAAAAAGCGCGACCTCTTAAAGTTTAGGTTTGCATATAATATAAAAATTAAAAAATAGGAAAATAATTGATAATTTAAATTTTCAATTGATGATGAATTAAACAATTGATAATATAGGACTGTCAATTGTCCATTAATCGAATAATACTAATTTCATGAGGAGAATTTTCGATTCACCAAATAATTGTCAATCTTCTTAACTTAATTATTGATTGATAAAATAATTCAGGATTTTAATATTCAATTGATGATTAATTTAATAATTAAAAGTTGTAAAATGTTATTAAACAATTGACTAGTTGAAAATTTAACGGTAATTGTAATTTATCATTATGGCTATCTCTGATAGCGGAATATTGATGTAGTGAGATTTTTCATACGTTGAAGATCTATTTGACAAAATTAGTGCAAAAAATCAATTATTTATTGTTTGTTTTCCCGCCAGATGCTTAGAATCGAAAAAATAGTTCAGTATACTCAATTTTTGAGGTATGAAGGTTTGTTACGTACTTGTGTATAATTCCCTTCGTTCATTCTCTCCTTCAAATTCCCTGGTAATTTGAACAAGAACTGTAGTCTCTTGAGATGAGTGTGAATCGACGACAAACGAGATATCTGCTGTCGTGTGCCCTGCAATGTCGATGATATTTTATCCGAGAATGACGTTATGCTGTCCATGTTAGTGGCTAGACAGTCCATACTGTCTTCCATTTTTTTGAAGTCACTCTTCATCTGTAATGAATACGTTAAACCTCACGATCAATGCACAATAGTATAAATTACGCGATATTAAGAAATTTTTCATATATTGTTCATTTTTTAAATTCAGTAGCGAAGTGGCAAAACGTTTAAGTCGACTCATCTTCCAGTTAAGTTTTTGAGGAATATTTCCGAATCTAAGGGAGATAGCGAAATATTCGTAATGACATTTATTGTGGGTCTTAATCCGCTCTACAAAAAAGGTTATAACAAAAATTTTGCTATTTCCTTTAGATTCCGAGATATTCACTGAAAACTGGTCAATAGTCAAAATTGACTTATCTCCTTTTACAACTTCGCTACTGAATTATTTTTTATTTTGTTTCAAAATGCCCATTTTCGCAGGTTTTTCAATCTTTAACATTTTTTTCTTGGAAATTATACTTGATATACTGAGAGAGAAACGACCAACTTCTCAAACAAGTCTTGTTTGGGGCAATAAAATCGTTAGTTGACAATCGCCAAGAAATACTTGTTTAGTTCAGTAACTATTACTTCAATGGTTTTCATAAAATCTGAGAAGTTTAGTATCGAGGGCCAAGCAGATTTCTAATCAACATTAAATAAATAAATGAATAAATAAATGAATAAATTTGTAATAATTAATACCCACGAGTTCTCCCATAGATTCGTCAACTTACCTTTCTTATCGTATCGGTTGCAGCGATGAATTTATTATAATTCTCATAGACCAGTGTCTGCATTTCAGAATGAAGAATCTGGGTATTTCTCTTGACCTCCTCCTCATGATCAATTATTTGTTTCAATCGAAAATCCTGAAAATTAATTCATCACGAGCAATCAACAACAATCAATCATTTTAGCAATAATAACCACGCATTGAGAAAACAAGTTGCTTTTGCTAAGTTTATTTACTTGCCACAAGTAAATGTATATAAATATTTGCATAAGAGTTGTGTAAATTTTCTTGTAGTTAGTAAGTATGGGAGGGTGGGGTAAAATGGACACTTTAGACTTTTTTTTTAAATTATTCATAACTCAGAAACAAATTTATCAATTGAGCTCAGTTCAGGCTCGTCACAAAGGGAAATAATTGTTCTTTGTATTGAAAAGAAAATTATTAAATTTCATCAACATTTCCACCCCTCATTGACATTTGAAAAAAAGTCAAGTATCCGTTTTACCCCAACCTCCCCTATGCTTGGCAAAAGCAATTTTTTTCTCAGTGTAGGGGAAGGTGGGGAAAAATGGACACTGTTGACTTTTCAAAAAATGCTCATAACTAAGTGACAAATTCATCAATTAAGCTCAGTCTAGTCTCACTACAAAGCGGAATAATTGTAATTTACAATGATTTTTTAAAAATTATTCCATTTTATCAACAGTTCAATGATTTACGAACATTTAAAAAAATGTCAAAAGTGTCCATATTGCCCCAGTCTCTCCTATTCATGTAATTATCTTACTACCTTCGTTAATTTCTGGAGATACATCTCCGAATTAAAATGCTGTCCATTGATATCGTACGGATTATTCGTATTCTCCGCCATTCTGCCTCCCAAATGCTCGCTTTACTCACTAATTAAAATACTTATTACTTAATAAAATAGTTGTGCCACAGAAGATGAATTATTTTGACAGAAATGTCGAGGTTAGCAGCAGTTAGAAGTTGATGACATTCACAAAACTGACAGCTCAGGTGTATCTATCACGGCTCACACAGAGTTCTTCTTAACCAGTCCATCGACTTAACCTCAACCGATAAATGAATTCCTGCAATTATAGGTTAGGCCTGTGACACGCCAGAGACCACGTGCAGCAAGCAAGAGGTCCAAAGAGGTCTATGGAAACATTCGACCATAACCTCTGCCTTAAGAGATTATTTTATTAAGAATAAATGCAGACTAACTCCACAACTGAATAAAAAGAACAGTTAGTTCTTGAATTCAACTCTTGTCTGTTCTAAGGTAATTATAGCGTCTTATTTTTTCAATAAATATCGAATAAGTCCTTCGTATCACTTGAGTCTTCCTCACAACAACTCGGCATGAAAACAATTACTCCAGACGGAAATGTTGGACTTTTGCTGGACAACATCACTTTTATTTCCTCACTACCTTTTTAAATATTCATTCGTTCATATGCTCAAGACGATAGATTTGTCATGTATGAAAAAAAAAAATTCACAGAAAAACATTAGGAGAGGTTGGGGTAAAATGGACACTAGACTATTTTAAAATTATTTATAATTCAGAAACAAATTTATCAATTGAGCTCAGTGTAGGCTCGTCACAAAGGGAAAGAGATGTTCCTTGTATTGAAAAAAAAATTATTAAATTTTATCAACATTTCAACCCCTCATTAACATTTTTAAAAAAGTGAAAAGTGTCCGTTTTAGAAAAATTTCATTGGATTTCTATTAGAAAAATATACAACTCTGCGCCGTTTTTTTCAATGGAAATGTTATAAATAAGTAATTTAGGATGTGGATCATGGGATAGTTGGACAATCAGTACACCATACTCAATCATTGTCGAGTCGCGACGTTTCGTTTGTAATTCGAGCTTCCTTAGGCTCTGGAAACCAATCACCTACAACCAGTAATAAAATAATAATACTAATTCCATAAAATCAAAGAAGCGGAACAAATAAATTGTTGAAATAAATCCATTCGTTATAAATAACATATTTCATCGGAAAGTCAATTGAATTTGCTTCTTCTATTGAACTTATTTTATTGGGATAGATTAGATTTATTCGTTCATTGATGTTACTTTTACAGTTTTACATCTTACATAAGCCTCCTTCTTTCTCTAATAGATATATGGAAATAATATTTTGTTTTATACTTGAATTATCACCAGCATTAGTTTTAACATTATCACAGATTATTTGAGCATAGAACTCTATTATAAACATTTGTTCTCATTTTGGTTTTTCGCAATCTCTCAGTACTTTTTCAATTTTTGTCAGTCCTATACAGAGTTTAATGTCAATTTCCCCTGCAAGAGCCTCTGTCAGTCATTTTCTCCAGTTTTTATTGGGATATTTTCTATACAAAATTCTTCGGCCTCAATTTTTGATCTTCTTAATGAAAAAAAGAGTGAACAAAATGGAAAATATCTGTGAAGGAATTATTCAAAAACTATCTCAATATAATAAATTATATAAAATTATTAAATTCTCAAGCCAGATGTTCAAAGGGATAGTTATTAAATTCTATCAATTTTTTCTATAAAACAATTGTTATTGAACATTTTTCATTGAAACAAATCTGTGAAAAACTAATCAAATTTCCACTAGAAATCCATAAGTTCACACGAGCGAAGCAAATAAATTGTTAAAATAAATCCATTCGTTATGAATGACCTATTTTATCGGAAAGTCAATAGAATTGGCTTCTTCTACTCAACTTATTTTATCAAGATATTTTCAACACAAAATCCTTGGGCCTCAATTTTTCATTTTTTTAATCAAAAGAAAGAAAAGAGTGAAAAAGTGGAAAATTTCTGTAGAGAAATTACTCAGAAACTATCTCAAAATACTAAATTATATAGAATGATCAAATTCCATTCATTTTTCCTATAAGACAATCGTTATTAAACATTCTCCGTTGAGACAAAACTGCGGAAAACCAGGATTTCCAATAGAAATTCAATAGAAATTCCCGAGAGCTCCAGCCTATTCCATAAAACAATCTCGCTCATTTCCCCCTCCAATTCCCCTCGAGTAACCGACTCCTTCCTCGCAGACAGCCCGAAGATGCCGAAGACTTCCGCAGCAACGAAGCGACCTCGCAAAGAGGGCTTCAACCGCTCAGGGCACAGCATGAACCCCGAGCGTCCCACCGAGGGCCTAAAAGGCGTCGCCAAGGTACGTACAAAAGCCACCATAAAGCGCCTCCAGATGTACCGATGCTCCAAAGCGAAGCGCGACAAAACGGGTAAAATCCTGACCCCAGCGCCCTTCCAAGGCTGGCACCCATCAGGAACAATGTCCCGAGTCGAGCCCTCCCAGCGATGGTTCGGAAATTCCCGGGTGATCTCGCAAAACGCTCTCCAGAAATTTCAGAGCGAACTGGGAGCAGCCATGAAGAACCCTTACCAAGTGGTGATGAAGCCCACCCAACTTCCTGTCACTCTCCTAGAGCAGAAAGCTGTTCAGGCGAGGGCTCACCTCCTCGACACAGAGAGTTTTGAGACGACTTTCGGCCCCAAAAGGCACCGAAAGCGTCCAAACCTGACTGTCTCCTCCTACGACGAGCTGCAGAAGACAATCGACGAGAGGGAGGAGACCTACAACAAAGTTAAAGACACAAAAGACACCGATTTGATTCGCCCTGACGAAGGGGTTAAGGACGCAGCTCGTGATTGGGTCATGGCAGCTGGCCAGAGCAAGAGGATCTGGAATGAGCTCTACAAAGTCATCGACTCATCAGACGTCATTCTCCAGATCCTCGACGCCAGGGACCCAATGGGTACGCGTTCACCACCCGTTGAGAAGTACCTCAAACAGGAAAAGGCCCACAAACACCTGATATTCATTCTCAACAAAGTAGATCTTGTCCCGACGTGGGTGACTCAGCGATGGGTAGCCATTCTGAGTCGTGAGTATCCCACAGTAGCTTTCCACGCTTCTCTGACCCATCCCTTCGGCAAAGGATCGCTGATCAATCTTCTCAGGCAATTTGGCAAGCTTCATACTGACAAGAAACAGATCAGTGTGGGCTTTATTGGGTATCCCAACACTGGAAAGAGCTCGATCATCAATACTCTGAGGTCTAAGAAGGTGTGCAAGGTGGCACCGATTGCGGGGGAGACCAAGGTCTGGCAGTATATAACTCTTATGAAGCGTATTTATCTGATTGATTGCCCTGGGGTTGTCTATCCGTCAGCTGAAACTGACACTGAGAAGGTTTTGAAGGGCGTGGTGCGTGTGGAACTTGTACAAAATCCTGAGGACTATGTGGAAGCTGTTCTTCAACGTGTCAAGGCTGAGTACGTGAGGAAGACTTATAAGGTTGAGGATTGGGGGGATCATGTGGATTTTCTGGAGAAACTCGCTAGGAGAAGTGGGAAATTGTTGAAGAAGGGCGAGCCGGATACTGGGGCCGTTGCCCGCATGGTTTTGAATGATTGGCAACGTGGCAAGTTGCCGTTCTTCGTTGCACCAGTGGGATATGAAGCGCCTCTTTCTTGTCAGGGCACGGACGTTGAGGCGGAGACGAGACAGACAGAGACACTTGATGCGGGGGAAGTTGAGATGACGAGGGAGATTAGTGGAGAGAGTGAGAAACGCATTGGTGTTGTACAGGACTTTAGGAAAATTCGGGTTGCTTTGAGCTATACTGGGGATGATGTGAAGAAATTGGATCCTATTGATTTGGGGGGTGGTGATAAGGGGGATGATGAGGAGGAGGATGAGGGGGAGGAGAGTGTAGAGAATTCTGTTGAGTCCATTTCGGAGGACAAGAGTGAGGCTGGTCAAACTGAAAATGGGGGTGATCATTGCGAGGAGGAAGTTCAGGGGGAAGTTAGAGATAATTTGATGCAGAGTGTGTATGACGCACTGCCGGAGGAGGATTACTCGTCCTCGGACGATGAGAAATCAACGAGAAAGACAATCACATCTACTAGTGGTTCGTTCCAAGTTTCGCCGGCAATTTCCGAGAAACTTAAGGGCAAAAATTTGACGAGCAAACAGAAACGGAGCATTGAACGCGCGAGTAAGCGGAAGAAGATTGGCTCTAATTTCTATGAAGTTTCTAATGTTAAAAATCGTAATCGTAATAGGAAGGTATTGAAGGTTAAGAGGATTTAGAATTGTTCTGGTACAGAGTAAATAAACAATAGGAGGAATTATCACAAAATTGCGTGACACTTGATTCGGGGGAAGTTGAGATGAGGAGGAAAATCAAAGGTGGGGAGAAACAAATTGGTGTTGTACAGGACTTTAGGAAAATTTGGGTTGCTTTGAGTTATGCTGGGGATTAGGTCATGAAACTAGATTCTATTGATTTGTTAAGGGGGATGACGAGGGGGAGGACAGCGTGGGAATTCTATTGAGTCTGTTTACGAGAATATGAGTGATGCCAGACAAATTGAAAATGCTGGTGATCATTGCGAAGAGGAAATTCAGGGGAAAGTTGGAGACAATTTGATGCAGAGTGCGTGTGATACAGTACTGGAAGAGGATTACTCATCTTCGGATGACGAGAAATCAACAAGAAAGACAATCACATCTACTAGTGGTTCATTCCAAGTTTCGCCAGCAATTTCCGAGAAACTTGAGGGCTAAAATTTGACGAGCAAACAAAAACGGAGCATTGAACGCGTCAGTAAGCGCAAGAAGATTGGCTCTAATTTCTATGAAGTTTCCAATGTTAAAAATGGTAATCGTAACAGGAAGGGATCAAAGGTGAAGAGGGATTAGGATTATTCTATTACACAGCCACTTTTTTCTATCGATTCCGACGGAAAAAGGGGAGGAATTTTTATTATCGCGAAATTTCGTGCTAATTTCAGAGACATTTGATTTCGGGGAAATTGAAACGAGTTGATGTTGTACGGAACTTTATGAAAATGCGGGTTGCGTCAATTTTTGCTGGGGATTATGTCAATAAATTAGATCCTATTGATTTGTTAAGGGCCGATGAGGGGGAGGACAGCGTGGGAATTCTATTCAGTCTATTTTCAAGAATATGTGTGATGCCAGACAAATTAAAAATGGTGGTAATCATTGCGAAGAGGAAAGTCAGGGGAAAGTTAGAGACAATTTGACGCAAAGTGCGTGTGATACACTACCGGAAGAGGATTACTCATCATCGGATGACGAGAAATCAACAAGAAAGACAATCAGGGATCAAATTTGACGAGCAAATAAAAACGAAACTTTGAACGCGTCAGTAAGCGCAAGAAGATTGGCTCTAATTTCTATGAAGTTTCCAATGTTAAAAAGGTAATCGTAATAGGAAGGGTGAAGAGAGATTAGGATTATTCCATTACACGGCAACTTTTTTCTATCGATTCCGGTGGAAAAAACGTGAGGAATTTTTATTATCACGAAATTGCGTGCCAATTTCAAAGACATTCGATTCCGGGGAAATTGAAATTAGGCCCTTGTAAGATTGATGGAGAGAATATGAAACAAGTAGGTGTTGTATACGACTTTAGGAAAAGTCGGGTGGCTTTGAGTTATGCTGGAGTTGATATCGAGAGATTAGATCCTGTTGATCCTATTGATTTGGGGTGGTGGTAAGGAGGATGATGAGGGAGAGGACAGCGGAGGAATTCTGTTGAGTCTATTCCGGAGGATAAGAGTGATGCTGGACGAATTGAAAATGGTGGTAATCATTGCGAAGAGGAAATTCTGGGGGAAGTTAAAGGCAATTTGATGCAGCGTGCGTATGACACACTACCGGAAGAGGATTACTCATCCTCGGACAACGACACGGTTGAATAAATTTAATAGAAAACTCCAGCGAATTCGGTGGATAACTTTATTGGATTTCTATTGAACTTTCTATTAGAAAATATTCAATAGAAAAAGTCAATTGAATTCGATTTTTTATATTGAATTTTCTACAGAAGCTTTTTTCATTCTAGTTTTTTCTCTTATTATCAAGAAAATCAAGCAAAAAAACTTGGAAAATTTGAGCCGAGGAAATTCTGGGGAAAATATCTCAATAGAATAAGTATAGAAAAATCGAATTCCTTTGACTGGCTAAAAACTAACAGAAAGTTCAATCGAAATCCCATCGAATTTTCTAAGTTATTCGCTAGATTTCTCTATGAAATTTTTTCGTGCGTGCAGAAGTCAACAAGAAAGACAATCCCATCAACCCGTAGTTCATTCCCAGTTTCCTCCCCAAATTCCGATAAACTCAAGGGCCAAAATTTGATGAGCACATAAAAACGAAGCATTGAACTCCGTTTTTTATTTGCTCGTGCAATTTTAATTGATGAGCATTTGAACTGCAAAAGAATTGCTTCTAATTTCTATGAAGTCTACCGTTAAAAATCGTAACCGTAATAGAAAAATACCGAAGGTTAAGAGGCTTCAGGGACTCCTTTTACGCAGCAATTTTTTTTATCGATCTCAGTGGAGAAAAACAAGAGGGAAAATTATCACAAAATGGCGTGCCAACTTCCGTCGGGGGGGAGTTTAACGATTTTCCGTATTTTTTTTTCGTTTCCGCTTTCCCTTGCCCCTACTTTCATGTGAAATTGGGTAACACGGAATAAGGACGTTTAGGTTGAAACTTTCAGCATCGCGAACACGAAATACTTTTATATGGGGCATGACGCTTGTGTGGGTGGTATTTTAAATCCGTATGTGGATAAGAATGGACGAATGGGAAAGCCATCTGGTCTGGAATAGCCATTCGAGCCAAATGATTTCTCATCCCCCCACTCATTTGAAATAAATAAGGAAAGTCGTAAAATCTTCTGTTATTCCTCCCTCCGGAAAAGTTTTGGGGTTTCGCGAGCTGTTGGCGTCCCAGTCCCGTTCATAGAGGTTTCTGCATTGAGAAAGGAAATAATCCTGTAGAAGAAGATGTGAAAAAAACGGCGGATGACCCGTTAGGCAGGTATACGAGGGAGGGTGGCGTTTTTTCTTCACATTTTTTTTTATTTCGCCGGCGTTAGAGTGTGGGAACATGAACCCTCCTGGCTTTGCAGTCTCTCCTATATTTATAGCCGGTGGATGTATTTTTGTAAAGGAAAAACGCACCCTCGAGCTGTGCGCCAAGATCAACGAATACACCGAAAGTCGACTGTTAAACGCGAATGGTTTCTCCGCTTTATCCGATTGTACTGCAGGTATCTTTACGATATTTATAGAGTTCTTGGCACTTGGGTGAATGTGAAGGAGGATTGTATAGAAGTGAAGGCAGATGGTGAATTTTTTGTGAATAAAAAATGATTTTTGTAACATAAAATTTGGCATTTTGTTGATTTCTCCTTCGTCAATTGATTTGAGCGCTCCGTTTACTCGTGAGAGCTCGGATGACTTTTTATTCTTTCTAATTTGGAGAGTTATCTCACTAATTATTAGCTGTAACAGAATTTAAGACACGCGGAATGCCCTTTTATATTTGTAGTTGAACTTTAAAACCTCCATTGAAGCTTGATTTCACTCTAGATTGAAAGTTCAAAGTTGATTCTTCATTTTCAACCCTTAAAAAACATTCTTGAGAATTGGAAAATATAATTTTTTTAAATACGCAATATTGCATTTTATCTTAAATGTGAGGGAATAAAAGGCATGCGGACTTATTTTCTAGATTTTTAGGCGAACTTCAAATCTTCCGTTGAAGCCCCATTTGACCGTAGATTGAAGGTCTAAAGTTGATTTTTGATTCTCAACCGTTGAAAAGAAATGAAAATTTGAAAACAAAAATTTTAATGTAAAATTTGTCATTTTATTCATGTCCCCGTCGAGAATTAATGTCCCGTCCACACGTGAGAGCTGAAATAGTTTTTTATTCTTTCTAATCTAAAGAATTATCCCCCTGATTATTAACTGTGAAAGAATTAAAGACATGCGGAATGCCTTTTTATATTTGTAGATGAACTTTAAAACTTCCATTGAAGCCCCATTTGATTCTAGATTGAAGATTCAAAGTTGATTCTTTATTTTCAACCCTTAAAAACATTCTTGAGAATCGGAAAATATAATTTTTTTAAGTACAAAATATTGCATTTTATGGATTATTTCTTCGAGAATCAATATCCTGTCACTGATGAGAGCTCGTATGATTTATTATTCTCTCTAATCTAAGTAGTTATTTCCCTAATTATTAAGTGTAAGGTTTAAAGCTGATTCTTTATTTTCAATCGTCAAAAAACTTTTTTTTTAATCTGAAATTTTTTTTTTTTTTTAAATACAAAATATGGCATTTAATTGCTTAATTCTTCCAGAATCAATGTCCAGTTCCCTGACCGGAGCTCTAATGATTTTGAATTCTCTCTAATCTAAAGAGTTATCTCCCTAATTCTTAACTATCAGCTTTAAACTTAATTCTTCATTTTCACCGTTAAAAAACATATTTAAAAATCTAAAAAAATTATTTTTAAACATAAAATGTGGCATTTAATTGCTTAATTCTTCCAGAATCAATGTCCAGTTCCCTGACTGGAGCTCTAATGATTTTGAATTCTCTCTAATCTAAAGAGTTATCTCCCTAATTGTTAACTATCAGCTTTAAACTTAATTCTTCATTTTCACCGTTAAAAAACATATTTAAAAATCTAAAAAAATTATTTTTAAACATAAAATGTGGCATTTAATTGCTTAATTCTTCCAGAATCAATGTTCTGTCCCCTGACTCGAGCTCCAATGATTTTGAATTCTCTCTAATCTAAAAAGTTATCTCCCTAATTGTTAACTATCAGCTTTAAACTTAATTCTTCATTTTCACCGTTAAAAAACATATTTAAAAATCTAAAAAAATTATTTTTAAACATAAAATGTGGCATTTAATTGCTTAATTCTTCCAGAATCAATGTCCAGTTCCCTGACTGGAGCTCTAATGATTTTGAATTCTCTCTAATCTAAAGAGTTATCTCCCTAATTGTTAACTATCAGCTTTAAACTTAATTCTTCATTTTCACCGTTAAAAAACATATTTAAAAATCTAAAAAAATTATTTTTAAACATAAAATGTGGCATTTAATTGCTTAATTCTTCCAGAATCAATGTTCTGTCCCCTGACTCGAGCTCCAATGATTTTGAATTCTCTCTAATCTAAAAAGTTATCTCCCTAATTGTTAACTATCAGCTTTAAACTTAATTCTTCATTTTCACCGTTAAAAAACATATTTAAAAATCTAAAAAAATTATTTTTAAACATAAAATGTGGCATTT